GCCCATACCTGGTTAGGCATGGAGTTGAACTAGGCAACTCATTTCATGCTGCTTCAAGTCTGTGCCGCAATTCATCAACTGTATTATCTGGAGAAGGGTAGCGAGCAGTCTCTCAGCAACCCATGACTAGATGTTTTCAATGGGTGACAGATCTGGAGACAGTGCAGGCCAGGGCTACAGTCAAATATCCTGTGTGTCAAGGAAGGTCAGAACACAACTTGCAACATGGGTCTCATTATCTTTAGAAGAAGGCGTTTGCAGGCCTCAAAGATATCAAACCACACGGTAATTTAACGCAGACATAAATAAAAATAAATGTCGAATGTGCTACTCTGATTTAATTACCTATTCAACTAAGAATGTGTGTGTCGGGCACCCAGAGGGTGTCCAAACCATTACACCAAGGGCAGGGCCCCTATGCTGATATCTAATGCAAGCAGGCGATGTGTGGTCTCCTTGGAACTTCCAGACAGATATGCAGCCATCAAATACTGAACAAAGAACCGGGACTCATCTAAAAAGACGTTTTGTCACTCCTGTATCCAACTTTGTCATTCGGTACATTAGAGTCCCCATCTCTCTCTATGCTGCATTGTCAAGGGAAGCTGAAGTATTGGCCATCGTGTTTATAGTCGACGTGCCACACATGGATCTACCCTCAAACAGTCCATTTCTGACTATCTCCATAGTGCTGCTGTTTTGCAGGGCGACTCACAATATGTGTCTTCTCCGCTTACCTAGGAGAGATTGAATCCTGCATATTTTCAATATACCCTAGCAACCATGATTACATATTCATACTGAGTGGTGATGTTGACCAGTGCACTTGCGATGTCATGACATATCCCTATCTCGATACTTATATCCTCCTCATCGCATTCTGACACTTGCTGGTAAGATTTCTGCTTATTATTGAGACTAACCAATATTCTTAGCAAACTCCACCTTACAAAGTCTTTCCAATGAGAATTCCAACACAACTTTTTTTATGCAGTGCTCGATTGTTTCTCCTCCCTCCTCCCTCGTCTAAAGTCCATAATACTCTACTCGTTTGCTATCCCAACTCTTCTTCGTTTCATGTGATTTTGACGTTCGTCAGATCATTCCTTCCTGGTGTTGCAATTTTTATGGCCAGCAGTGTAAATTGAACATTTGATATTTTCCAGTATTTTCAGATATTGAGTTAGTATTTGTATATGTAAACAGCTCATAGAAACTTTGTGAATACAGAAAAAAGAATAGCAAATTAACCAAAAACTTAGAATCTTTTTTACAACTCCAGTAACAATTTTTGAAGGTGAAGATGTCCAATGAAAATCCAAATATTTTGATATCCAGACGAAAGAAATCGAGTTATATGTAAATAATATAAGAAATAACTTTTGTAAACATGAACATGTATCAACTGACTATATCCAAAGCAAGCACACACATTATTTTTCTATTTTAGATACAGATGTAGAAATAATTGAATACAAATTTGTTTCTATTATTTTATATAATATAATTTTGTAAGCAATGTATTTAAATAAGCAACATATAAAATCCTTCCTGAAATTTATTTAAACATATAATTTTTGGTGGCCACAGTTGAGCAGTTTCTGATATTGATGAAACACATTCTCATGGCCAACATAGTGCCTAAAGATACTGTGCTAGATAGGATTCCATATCTTCATGAGCTATACACTTGTGTGTTTTTGCCCCGTTTTCTTTAGCTGTACCCATAAAATGAATGGTTTACAATAGTAAGCATATTAAGTGTTTAATAATGGAAAAACCAAGAAAATGTCTATTAGTTGAAATTAAGTTCATGCACATATGCAGATTGGTAACCATCTGTTTCTCAAAAAAGCTGTAACACATCAATTCCAGTTTCTAGGTAATGCCATTAAAATGTAGAAGTAACTAAATTTGTAATGACTCTGAGCAACAAAGAGTATGTTTTACAGTCAAAAGTCTTTAATCCGGACTCGTCGGGACTTCGGTGATTCCGGATTATTGATTTTTTCGCATTATAGATTATAAGTTTAAATCTGGTAAGATGGCATGCAGAATTATAAAATTAAAATTGAAACCTTAATTTAAAATAATGGCATTTGATCTAAAGGTATCACAATTTACAAAAAAAGAACTTATATTTATTTGTTTTATTTTTTAAACGTTTCTTTCTTCGCGCGCATGCGTAAAGCTACTTACGCATAGCCGAAGAGAATTGCAACCAGAAAAATTTGATTTGTATTCGTGATATTTATAAGGACAGAATTTTAATTTAATCATATCAAAGACGGAGTACATTGAGATGAAATACTACATTTAGTAAGGAATTATAAGCCGAAAAAATAAAAACATCTGTCCTGAAGATAGAGTTGCTGACAGATCACTTCCGTTCATTGCGCACCCATTCCCCCCCCCCCCCATAGTCTGGTGTGAAGTTATAAAAGATTTTTAATGGTTAATAAAAAGGATATCCTTTATTTATTTTTTGTAGCTACCCTTTTTTTTGATGGACATCGAAACATACTTTGTTTTGTATCCTTTGGAGCTCACATCGGAAATTCTATTGACATTTAGAACGTTTGCTCTTACAGTCTGCAGAAAATAATAAGCCGTCCAATTCGAAGATTAAGGAACAGCAATCATCACATTACTGAAAATAGATAATTAAATAATTTTAGCTATAAGTCCCTATACATTACACGCGCCGCGCAAAACTATTCTGCACTTGCACAGACGCATATGCGCATTCGAAAGGTCTCGTGCCACGGTAAACGCTTACGCATCGTCAACACGGCAGCGCAGAAAGATTTTAGCTTTGAGGTCCGTATTATAGATCATTTCGGATTATGGGTGTCCAAATTAATGACTTTTGACTGTATTTTAAGCTCTTGATTAATGATGTATGATGTTTGAAAAAGGGGGGCTGCTTTAGAATCTCTAAGAATAGGCTTTAGAAATTTATAATTGCAGTATACGCTCTGGTTAGTTTTTTTTTTTTTTTTTAATTTTTTATATGCCCTTGCTGAAATTGGTTGTAGTTGTAATTATTTCTTTTAGTGCTGTCTGCAGTACCATTACTTTTTAGTATTATTTTAGCATTGTCAAAGCTGTTGTGAATCCTACAGATGGTATAGTATTTATGTTAGATTTGCTGACCGAATGTTATTTAATTTACATTTTTCCTATTTGCCTCATTTTGCCACAAGTTTCACTCAAGTTTTATAATTCATGTGGTCTGAGTATCAAGCAGTTTTACTATAAAAGTAGAAGAATTTTGCATAGTTGCATGTGAGAGTTTGGTCTTCCTGTCAACATTGCGCTGCCTTTGAAAGCTTTAAGCTCTTTTGCCGATTTCCATGTTAAGTCTCAAACTAAGTAGTATAGCACAAGGATAGATTTGTTAAAATTAAAAATTTGAGCATTGTCACAGTCTTAGGCAAAGCTTGTAACCTCTGTTAAGAAATTTAAAATGTTTAAATTGATAACAGTTTTGAAGGAAGCCCATGTTTCAGCCAGATTCTTCAGAAATACTAATGGTGGAAATCCATCTGTAGAATCCATGTAACACCTCAAGTTGATTGTAATTGAGTTAGTTTAGCGGGACCCAAGAGAGAGATTACAGAAGGAGTACCACACCGCAAATGCTTCCATGTTATCTCGCAGAAGCAGGGTGCAAGTTCATTAATAAAAATTATGATCCCCCCCCCTTATGCTTCATGGTGTTCACATGCATATAGTTGAAAAAGACTTATAAAAGCATTCCTTAAAAGGCTACATCTGCTTTTGTTTTGTAAAATTAAAAGAAATTTTAAATTAATGGAATTAAAAATTATAATGGTTATTTAATTAATTGAATCATTTTCGCTTATGTATTTATTATTATTTATTCATAATTTCACATTTAAAAATAGCACTGTAGTAGTGCCATCTGAGAAATAAATAACTAACCAAAAGATGTAGATCATATTCTATGTCCTGTTCAATTAATGCTAATGTTTCATGGAACCAGTCAGTATTGAATGTTATTAAAATGGGCATTAATTTGAGCATTGAATAAGTTTTTTTTTTTTTTTTTTTTTTTTTTTTCAGAATTCTTATTGGATGTCTTAAGTAAAAAGTGATGAAAATTAAATTTTAATCTGTGGAATTAATTATTGGAACTAATAATGTAAAAGTTGAATATCACATATTGTTAAGAAATTATTGGGTCCTTATGTATTAGCACAACTAGAAGATGTAATAGATGTGTAGAAATGCTAAATTTTCAGTGTGTGTGAACCTCTGGCAACAGTGTACGTAACAGTTTTTCAGTTTTAACAAGAAACCTTACTATTTTCTTCTACATTGTTATATTCAAAGTTCCAGTGATTTCTATAGCCAGATTATGACATAGTAGTAAAATCAGTTTTAAAATATATGCCTATGAGATTTTCCTGCCATGGAAAAACTGAGCTAAAATTTCAGTACTTAAAATATTGCAACCACCTTAGTAGAAGCTGCTAAATTTTCAGAAGTCGCCAAATTCTGGCAATCATATGCATAACACTTCTTTAGGTAGCCATATCCACTGTAAGTTGCAATCTGAAAATTCATCGAATCACCTTTTTCTTTTATAAAAAAACTGCCAAACTGTGGCAAGATGGTTGCACTAATACTAATTACCAAAATTTCTGTAAAAATACAGTATTTAGCCACAAAATCACTCAAGAGCAATTTATTTGAATCTGTTATTACAGGGGTCAGTACGAAATTTCCGTTAAAACAAAAGGAACAAATACTTGTTTCCAACATTTATTAATTGATTTTTAAATAGACACCAGTATGAAACTTAAAATATATCTGCAATAGATAGTTTTTGGAATTAGAAGTTTTTATTCTCTTTCTTCAGTAAAAAAAATGCCATACTATGCTAAGGTGGTTGCAATAGCACTTAAGTACCAATTTTAGTTAAGTACCAATATATATATATATATATTTTTTCTTTTTTCTTATTTCAGCTAAAACATGGCTCATTCAGACATAGTGCATGAAACTTATCACATTTCTCATATTGCCGAGTGGTTTCATGCCTTTCCTCATGTTGATATTAGATTTGCATCAGTAAATACAACATTTGATCCTAGCAATAGTGCTTACTTAGAGGTAAGACTTTGTTGATGTAATTGATGTATAATGATTGTTTTAAATTGTATCAATTTAAGTTGCACAAAATACTTATAATTTATTAGTTACAAAATAAATATTCAAAGAGGTGTTTTATTAAAATAAATTTTATTTAATGACTAGTTGGATTAGATTTCTAAGTTTTTAAGAGAGCATAAAAATAATAGTAGGCAAGAAACTTGACAGCATGCAGAATGGAACATGTGGTTTGAGAAATTTAAATCTCAAAGGAATCTTACTAAACTGCAAAGAGAGAAGAAAAGGTGATGACACACCATTTGGATTTAGCGAAAGTAACAATGTAGACATTCTGTGTGAGAAAGCTAGTACTTTTGTAGAATCCTGTAATATATATAGTTAGAAATATGTGAATCAGTTGATTTTTTTTATTTATTTTGATTTTTAAACTGCACCTACCAATTAACCTGCAGGTTCTCTCAGCTGAATAAATTGTTTCTGAGTTGTTAAATCTATTAAATTGATTTGTGGATAATTAGTACAATTCAAAGTCTGAAATCCAGGTAAACGAGAACAATCTATTATCCTGACCTCCCATCAAATTGTTTTATCTTTGAAAAATTTTCCTTTTTTTCTCATGCAGTGTAGAAATAGAGAAATATTTACATGTAATGAAATTGTGGTTTGATGGCATGACATGAATGATTTGATTATGAATCAAACTTGCATTAAAATTTTCGATGAAACTGGCCTTTTTCCATGATTCACTGTGAACATAGAATAGCAAACCCGTGTAGATTTTTTCATAATTAGAACTGTCCAAAAAATGTAATCAAAAGTACAAATTTGGAAGCACTGATGTAAGAACACTAAGGCATAGAAATACTGATAACGTAGATATTTGATGCTTAGAGCGTCCATCCATTTTGAAAAAGAAACAGTCGAGATGGATTAAATTCCGTATTTATTTAAATTCACTTTTGTGCCCACAAGTCACTTGGCACTTCAATCCTGCCTATTTCCGGAACATATTTGTATTAGCACAACTAGAAGTCAATGGAAACAAACATAGGTGATAGCAGAAGCGTCTTAACAGGAAGAAAGCATTAGCGAGAAGAGAGAAAGAGTGTCACAGTAGTAATTGAAGAGGAAGAAGGGAGGAAGTCAAGTTTTAGTTCAGGCTAGTTTTGGTTTCCAATTATTTTGATTGGGTAAGAGACATCTCCATTAAGTGTTACATAAGATTGCATGATTAATTTGAATGATGCAATTTAGACTAATGGTGCAATTTCTAAGACAGAGAGAGAGGAAGTTCCCAAATTAAATGAAAAATAAAAGAGGTTATAGTCAATTAAAATTAGAAGTTTACTTTCATATTGTTTTATCTTATATATATATTGCAAGAATGTAATAAAGTAATCAAAAGTGCCTTTTTTAAAAATAGAAAGAATAAATAAGACTAAAATTAGCATCTTGAGCTGCTGAATTTTTATAAAATTAATTCAAATGGGTAAGGTATTGAAAACCTAACAAAAGCTGCTTAAATATTTGAAGGTAACCTATCTTATGAACTACAAATTTTTCAACAGGAAAAATGGGAAAAAACCCAGTACAAAAATTTTTTTGGTAGTTTCCTCTGTTTAAAGCTTCAAACAGAACTTGTCAAGGGAAGAGTGTTTTGAAGCCTCAAACCAAGTTGATCAACTAGACAAATGTAAACATGTTTCGTTCTGAGAAATTCGCTGAAACTTCAGATCGTTTTAATTGAATTCAGTATTGTTTGCAAACTTATTAAAAGTCTCATTAAATTTGCCTCTTTTTCCAACATGTTTTCATCTTCTAAGCGACATAATGTACAAAAGTGCTTAAAGTAATTACTATAAAATTATGGAACTTAAAATTTAAAATATACAAATCCAAAAACATAAATGGCCTAGAAAGGGAAAGTCCAAAAACAAGGTAAATGCAAAAGAATAAAAATAATCAAACAATTTTTTCACATATGAAAATTAACTTGAAAGGCCAAAAACAAGGGCTGACACGAGAATTAAACATTTGTCTTTTAAAATCTTGTCAAAGTTAAAAACCTTTATAAGTAAATAAAAAGAAAGGAGCAGTTTTGCTCAAAAAGGATGAATGTTTAAAATAAAAGATAAAAATAAAAATCATATCTTTCACTTGATGCTAACTCCGGCAGCAATGAAGCTGTGAAAGTTCTGGACATGTAAAGGTTGTCAAATTTCAAACAAACCTAATGGGGGGGGTACCGTGTGCGTGTGTTTGATTATGGCAAAGCCTTGAGGGCTATCTGCCTAAGGGGAGGGATGCCTTCGTGGAGGACTTTCTAAGGGAAACTGGCTTGGAGGGAGGGGTACCAGAAATTGGAAACAGTCTACTACAACAGATAGCAAGCCACTTCAAAACCTGAAACAAGCCATTGTTATCTTGTTGGTATGCCAGTGGAGGCTTCCGAAAATAAGGTGGCATAGTGGGGAGTGTTAGGAGGTCGTAGTCAGAGGTAACCAGTTAGAAAATGGCGTCATTTTTAAGCATTTTGTTTGAAAAGAGAACTATACAAAATGGCTAAATGTCCAAGTTTTAGCTCAATCTGGGCAAAAAAATAGAGGAAATGGATAAGTATTTGTTAGTAAAAGGTCGTTGTTCTTCACACAGTCGAGCTATAAAAAACATCTTAAAGAAATGAGAAAGGCCTTTTTTTGTCATTAACAGGATAGCTGGCCAGTAAGTCAATAGAATACTTAATGTTATTTTGATCTTGAAAGCCAAATTCAAAGAGAACAGAGAAATTAAATTGCATATTTACATTAAATCACTTGTGCAAGTCATCCACTAGTTACCTCCTTTGCTGGTTGAGTAAAAAATTTCATGTCACTTAAAACAAGTAATTTAAAAATTCAGGTAAATGCCGTTTTTTTTTTTTTTAAGGAATGTAAAATTACTAAATTGGGAATTTGATTTTCTAGGAGGATGTAAATAAAATATTTTATTTCTTCTTGAAGAAAGTCAGTGTTATTGCAAATTCTTTTTATTATAAGTAGTTAATTGTATTTACAATGAGTCTTTTTGAAATGTTAGAAGTCCAATTGGTCAGTTTAAGAGTGTGAAACTTGACCTGTAAAAGTGTTAAAAATATTTACGCTGTTCTAAATTCAGTGATAATTAAAATTTATATTGTGTGAAAAGGAATAAATTACAGACTGCTGAAGAACTACTAGCACCCATAGGTATACTAATAGTTTCTATTCTTCTCTTGAGACTATGTAAGAATTGTGTTAGCAGATCAGGGAGTATAAGAAGGCCCTCATAAATATTCTCAAAAGACAAAGTGGTGTAAAGATTTTCAAAATCGTAACAGTTAATATTAAAGAGGGAGCTAGCCTAATTAGTGTCATTTTGGAAGGAAAAACTAACCTTTGTAGAAAAATGTAATAGGAAGAACAAAAACCTTGGAAAGAATGTGTGATTTAGCAAGAGAAAAGTTTTTTGCGCATAAAGCTGCTAAAATATAATAAGAATATAATAAAGTAGTCAAGAATATAATAAAGTAGTCAGAAGTGCTTTAAAAAAAAGGAAGAACAAATAAGATCGTGTATGTCTTTGACAGTTACTGTGTTACAGCATTTGGAAAGTGTATCCGTCTTTATGAATCATCCTGTATATATATGTATTAAAGCACAGGTGCTTTAAAATTGTCATCCTTTTAGCTGAGATTGATTTGTCTGAGAAGTACCATTATTTACAACTGTATTGAATCATCCTGCATGTCATTTTAGCTACCTGCAGGCTATCAGATCATAATTTCAGTGATTGTGTGTGAGGGTAGAGGATTTTTATTCTGTACACAATGACTAACATCCAAAATACATTTTCTTGGAATGAAATTTGGCTCATACTTGTTTTCTTTTGTTGACATGGCAGTGAAGAAGGAAAAAAGAATTAGATTCAGTTAGTACAGCAAGATGTGTTCTTTCTTAATTTTTGATTTGGTCCAGTTTATTATTTTGTTCAGAGTATTAATACGGTCAAAAGTCTTTAATCCGGACTCGTCGGGACTTCAGCAATTCTGGATTATCGGTTTTTCCAGATTATAGATCATCGGTTTATATCTGGTAAGATGACGTGCAGAAATTATATAAAAATATGAAACCGTAATTTATGAAATAAAAAGCAATTATGATCTAAAGGGTATCAAAATTTACAAAAAAAAAAAAAAAGCTTTATATTTATTTGTTTACTTTATTAAACATTTCTTTCAACGCGTGCATGCGTAAAGCATACATTACGCATAGTCGAAATTAGAAAATTGCAACCAGAAAACTATTTGATGTGTATTTGTGATATTTATAATGACGAGGAATTTGATTTAAATCATATCAAAGACGGAGTACATCAAGATGAAGTACTACATTTAGTAAGGAATTATAAGCCGAATAAAATAAAAACATCTGCCCAGAAGATAAGGATAGTGCTGACAGATCAACTTCCAGTTCATCGCGCGGCGTGACGTCCCCCCCTTCCGCAGAGCAGCGTGAAATTGATAAACAGATTTTGGAATGGTTAGAGAAACAAAGAATATGTCTTTATCCATTTTTTGCAGTAATTCCACTTTTTGTTTGATGGACATCGAAACATGCTTTCGCTTTGTATATCGTTTGGTAGCTCCAGAATCGGAAATTCTTTTTGACATAATCGAAAGTTCAAGCTTACTTTTATAAAATTGCTCTAACAATCTGAAAAAATAATAAGCCAGATCCAATTAGAAAATTAAGGAACAACACAATCTGCAACATTAACTGAAATAGATAATTAGATAATTTTAGCTTAGCTTATACCGTCCGTCATATGTTAAATGCACATGTGTAAACGTATTATGCGCATGCACAGAATGTTTGTTGCTTTGAGGTCCAGATTATAGATCATTCTGGATTATGGACGTCCGGATTAAAGACTTTTGATTGTATTATCTTATCAAAATTAAAAGTTTTGAGTTCCTGATTATATCGGAAAGAGTTCATAATTTTAGAATTTTAATTTAATAGAAGCTGCAAGTTATTTCGAAATCATTCAAACAGAAAGTGGAATTATTGTAAAAAAGGGGTAAAAATGGCAAAATAATGTAAGGTGCATGCCATTGAAAAGTCAGCAGTATATGAGATTGAAAAACGGGAAGTTTTGGAATTGTTCCTAATTTTGATACCATTCTCACAATGAATAACACAAAAATTATTCCTCATGCTAAAAGCAAGGTCATGATAAAGATATTTTGAGTTATGAAAGAGTATGATTAAATGAGGCTAATGGGTTCAAGCCAAAATATTTCTGAAGAAATGGACTTAAAATCTAAGTGCACATATTTAACAGGTTGGTTAACTAAATGGACTTTGGTGATTCCAGATTTGGGATTTTTCTGGATCATCAGTTTAAAATTTGTAAGATGGCATGTAGAAATTTTAAAATTAAAAACATGAAATCTTGATGTATGAAATAATGAAGCATTTAAGATCTAAAGGGTCACAAAATTTACAAAAACGTCTTAATATGTATTTGTTTATTTTATTAAACATTTCTTTCAATGTAAGTTGTTTCAGTTGCTTTTTTTTTTTTTTTAATCCTAATATTTTTTCTTTAATTCCGACAGAATTTCTTATTCAGTTACAAAGTTCCATTATTCAAGTCCTAATTGCTGTGTCGAGAATTCTGACTAACTTGCCAATCGAAATTTTTTTGTTTTCAGTAACTTCTCTTTCACCTTCTTCACTATTGATAGCGGTATGCTCTGGATCTCGATTTCTGGATACTACAGATTTTGCCGTCTGTTAATTTATTGATAATTGGGGCATTGTCATCACAATGAAAAAATTCTGTTATATCATCTTCATTTATTACCGCTTCTCCCCATTTCTTTACAAAATCCATTAATTGGAAAATTAAATTCTTTTTGTTTGATATCCGAAAACCTTCACATTTGCAGCTATCATCATCATCCTCACCATGAAATGTGCTAGCTGGCTATAAATTACGCCAAGCAGCTTTTAAAGTATCTGGAGACACATCCTCCCATGATCTTACGATGCTCCACAAAGCAGATTATACACTAAAATATTTTTTAATGTCTTGATTAGTCTTGCTGTTATTCAAGAAATTTAATATGGATTTTAATAATTCTACTTGATATTTGCATTTTCCATATGCTCACTATTTCGATATCTATAGGCTGAATGATGGACACACAATTTAGAGGAAAATTATTGTTGGCTTTAGTTTTCCACATGCAAATTTTGATCGGAAGTCAATTGGCGGTAAGCTAACGTGGTTGCCGCTGATTGGCCGATGACGTCAAGATCGGCGGGTTGGCTGAGTATTATATATATGTACGCCGGTATCGGCGAATGTTTTTGTTCTCTTGTGTTATTATGAGTTAGCATTATGCTAGGATTTCTTTCACTTAATGATTTTAAATGTAAAGGCTACAATGTTAGCTCTTTTATTTTAATTTATGGAATAAAGAATGAATTTTATTTAGATTAGTTTTAGTTTTATTTAAGGGAGGCAAAATATGCTTTGCTTTTATCACCACTGCCAACAGGATTTTGGGCGCAGCGCCAACAGCTAATCAGTCATCCAGTTCAACTCAGCATTGAAGGAATGTAGGTGAAGAGGGACGTTATCCACGAAAAGAAGCTGACCTGTCTTAGAAGTTTGTTGAAGTCGTTGTGCTCACACTTCATTGAAGATGTCATTACTACCTGAAGGTTTTGAGCTGTTAAACCATGACAACTGGGATCGATGGAAAGTCGAGATGAAAATGCTGTTACTGGATAGAAATTGTTGGAGCTTCATAGAAGATAAAGAAGAAGAATTAGATAAAAGTGCAACAAGGCGTGAAAAGCAGGAGTTCACGCTGAGAGAGAACAGAGCATTCACTACATTATATTACAGAATTAAAACTGAGTTCAGGTCGCTGATACAAGAATGTTCAAGTGGTAAGGAAGCATGGGAAGTTCAACAGAAGCAATTCAAACTCAAAACAAAAGCAAGGATAATTCAGTTACTGGATGAATTTTTTAGTATTAGATATATGCCAAATGAAGAAATAGGATTATTCATCGCAAGGATAAGAATGGCTGCAAAGAAGTTGGCTGATGCTGGTTACAACTTGGCAGATCTTTTTAAAGTAAAACAAAAAAAGTATAAAAATAAGTAATTATGTAGGTATAATTATGTAGTAATAAAGGGTAAAATAAGTAATTATGTAAATTTAGCTAATAAATGCTGCATAAATATAGGTCTTCATGACAAATCAAAAAAACAATGCCGCTTGGAGGAGTAATCCTCAGTGATAAAAACTTATTAATTTAATTATTACTTTCAGTAGCTTAATCATTTTGGTCAGAGGTAGGCCCACATTAATTGTTCTGCTTTATTAAACCAGATAAATTATTTTATATATAAGTCTATGAACCATGTTATTGTTAAGCAGAAAATTGCTGAAATTGAGTTGATGTTAATGAATTGTTTGCCTTGTTTAAATAATGAATAGTATTCAGTCCTGTGGCTTGTAATGTTGTGGATATGTATGTATAAAAAAAAGGTTGCTGCTACAATTGATAATCAATATCACTTACTGACCATTTAAAGCCGCTATTCAAAGAACCATTTTTATCGTTAAAAAATAAATATGGAAGAGGCAGCTAGTCAGAGGGGATTTGAGAACAAGTATTTATATATATATATATATATATATATATAAAGGTTGCTGCTACAATTGCCAATCAATATCACTTACTTTAAACTGACCCGTTTAAAGCTGTTGTTCGGATGAACATTTTTATCGTTAAAAAATAAATATTGGAAGAGGCAACTAGCTAGTCAGAGGGGATTTGAGAACAAGTATTTATTTTGCCACTTTTCATTTTTTTAGCTTCATTTCTGTAAATGATTATTTAGTTCTTTGAAAGCTTTAAAATTAAACAAAACATTTTGCTGTCCAAGGGGATTATAGGAATATCTTATAAAACTGTCTGTTAAAATAAAAATGAAATGCCTTTGTTGGAGGAGCAACATCGATTACTGTATGTCACATATCGCATACTGTATATCACAAGTTTTTTGACTTGAAACTGCATCTGATGAATATCTTCCTTTTCAGGCATTAGGAATCATCATAGCAGTTCCTGGATTTTATCTGATTTTAACTTTGTTAGCTTTTTTGATATTTTTTTTATGCCGTTGTTGTGATTCAAGCTTTAAAAGGAAAAGAAAGATAACCCCCTTGAAATGGACGCTTGGCTTTTTTGCTATTCTTTGCTGGTAAGTATTTTTAGTGAGATAAGTGAATAACATATTAAGTTTTTATCTTTATGTATTAATTGATGTCGGGTTCTTCATTTGGTGCTGAGATATGACAATAATTTACCATTACACATTTGCTTCCCTCGTACTTTATCTATCGAATTCTAACTGCATTTACAGTCTTCTTGTGTTAGTTTTGACATGTTCTGTATTTATTATTTTCATAATCAATCTTCGTGATATGAAGGATAATGAAATAGAAGGTATCCATTTCTCCCCCCCTTTTTTTTTTTCAGAATCCCAATATTTTGCCAAACAGCTGCTAATGTTTTAATTCATTTATAGTGAAATTATAGGTTAATGAAGCAGAGTTAATCATCATTCATTTATCATTCAAAGTTCACGAATGAAAAGGCCATGTAGTCAAAATAAGGATACTAAATTTGTTCTAAGTAGCTGAATCACTTTGACAAGTAGCATACAATTTATTTTTTTGTCATTTTGAAGTGTTAAAATTGGTCAAATCCCATGAAAGATGCTGAGTATGATGGATTAATTTGTTTTTAATTGAAACCACAATACCCACTGCTAATTAAAATCAATTTTGTTCCAAATATGTCTAAGTTTTTTTTTAAACAGCTGAATTTAGTACGCAGTACTTTGTGTGTTGCAGATTGTGGTAATGGTTTTAAACATATCTAGTGAGATAATAATTGACAGTCAGTCTAATAATTAATACCTAAAATAATAATTAAAAATTAATGCTAAAGTTAAAATGCTTATTCTGTTTTGAAAGTTATTTTTTTTCAGCAGTACAATTACATAGCCATTAAAATTTAAAAAATTATAAGGGATTGATCTATCAATTTGAAATTCTTATTGTTCTTTACCACTTTTTCAATTATACAATACTCATTATAAAATTTATAATTACACTCACTAGCTCTCTAATATAAAGAAAAAGAAAGTGATATAAAGAAATATAAAGTAATATAAAGAAAAAGAAAGTGATATAAAGTGATATAAAGATATAAAATGATAAGGCAGCATATGTTGACCTTATCACTTTCTCTTTCATTCTTACAAACATGATGAAAATACACGAGGCCTCTTTATTTTTTTTTTTTTTTTTCTTTCTTGCAAATATTTCTGCTTTATTTTACATTTTAAAATTACAGTTGCTATATATATATTGGAAAATTATATTTCTTCAAACAATTATTTAAAAAATGTCTATTTATTCATTCATTGTGTATTTTGGGTCCCAGTATTCGTCACAGTGCTTTTGAAAACTGCATACTACATTGAAACAGCATATACCATACAACAGAGTTAATATGTCTTTCAATGGGTTGTTCAGAAAAGATATATAATCAACATTTTAATTTAGAGACATGTATACACATAGTTTTCCACTGGTTTACACAGTTTTTATCATTGTGCCATTGCTGTACATATCATCCTCCCTAATAAGCTCAAAATTTTCATTTTTTAAATCACAAAAGTCATAATATTATTCTTTTTAATGCTTTAAATTTTTCTTAATGCCTTTATGATTTTCTTCAGGCATTTTGCAGATATATCCTTAATCATCCTCCCTTTTGTATTAGCTGTATAATATAAACACTTCTGAAACTGCTTGGACACTTCTGAAACGATACATTCTCATAAGTAGAAGCATTGACATCTCATAAGTAGAAGCATTGTTTCATCAGAAATTTAGGCAGAGTAAAATAGTGAAATAATTTTGACTGCGATACTGCACATCTTTAGAGACTAGGCATTTTAAGGGGATGAGATGAAGATTTTACTGGTTTTATCAGCATTGAAAACGTCTATAGCTGATATCCATATATGTCATTGGATAAATTCCTGAATCTTCAACAAATTCGGTAAGACATCTGTGGGTTTTTTTTCGCTTATGATATTGCTTGACATTCTATGATGTAACTTAAATTCATACAGCCATTCAGTTGAAACATAATCAGCCTTAATATTCGCTGAGGATGTTACTTTTTGTGACTTTTCCTTCAGCATAGGCGACTTCTTTGGAATATATGATGTACTGCACTGATTGAAAACATTTCACCATCTAGATATTTTTGCCTTAAAATTACTATTTCTTTTAAGTAGATTTTTTGAAAACTGTGTTCTTTTTTTCCATTACCCTTTTTTCATCAGTATTTATTTTTAGTGTTGACACAAAAACACAAAAATATTCAGTACTGTTATATTTCTGTAAATTTTGAATTCTTATAAAATTCCTTGAAACTTTATGTTTGTCTTTCAGAGAGGCTGCCTTTCATTTTCTAGATACTTTAGCTGCAATTAAAGCTTAAAGCAAAACCCAAGAGATAAATATAGTTAAAATGTGCTTTACAAATGATAAAGGAATAAAACATATCCCAAATCTTTCTGGTCAACAGAATCCAGCATTTATTCTGTCTCGCTAAGTGATCCGATCATTATATCGGCTGCATGTATTCTAAATCATGTATTTTGACAATTTTAAGACCACTAATTGACGTATTAAAAACATGTTTTTAAAATCATATGTAATAGTATGAGAAAAAATTAGTTATTTGAAACATCCTTTGTAAGAAAATCAATATAAATATTAATATTTCTTATATTTTAACTAAAAAATGTGATATGACCAAAAGTGTCGAACTCTCTTATGTCGACCAAAAGTGAACGAGCTTAATGTATTTTGTTAAATACTTAATTTGAAATTATGCGGTTCTATGTAAGCATATCATGCATAGGATTGTTGTTTCTATGGAAAACAAAGATTCAATCCAAATATAGTCAAGTTTCAGTAAGTAAAAGCTGAAGACCTTTTAAAAAAAATTTAAGTATTAAAAGGTCGACTTCGGTATCTGTTTTGAGTAATCTGTTCTGATGACTTGTCTTCAAATTCCTAATTCCGAAAACCATACCGTCAAATATTTTGACTAACTGAATGTCAAGCAGTCAAAGGTTTAATGTGTATTCACTGGTAATTAAGTAGTCGAATTATTTTAGAAAAATAAAACCATTACAGTGTTTGCACTGATGCAGTTTCTTGTCTTGATGCCAATATGACAGGTGTTAAAGAGAAGATAATGTTTGCTAAGTAAATCAATTACTTAGCAAACATTTAAATAAACTGAGTGTCATTTAATATAAATACCTGTTTAATCTTCTATGGGTGAATAAAGCAAAGAGATAATTTTCCCGTTTTTAACTTGGATTCCACGAATAGTAGTAAATACAATAGTAGCAAATGTAACTGAATGTTCATTTGCACTATAATTTGGTAGTTTAAAAACTAACATGTTGACAAAGCTCTTCTTCATGTATCTGAGAATATAATAACATTTTAAATACTTTATTTAAAAAAAAAAAAGAAAATTCTCTACGAAAGTGATTCTTTATGAACGCTTCTTCGGCAGATTTTCTTCATGTACTTTGCCATATTTAAATAACCAACCTGCCTAGTTTAGGCAGGATTTCTAAATAGCAAAACCAGAAACTCTCCAAAAACTAGTGTAGTTATCCACTACACTAGATGGCAATGTTTATTGTTTAATGGCAATGTTTATGGCAATGACAATGGCAATGTTTATGGCAATAAAGTTTGTGGCAATGTTTATTCCAACCTAAATGTTATAATAACATTTATGTATTCCAACATAAATGTTATAATAACATTTATGTATTCCAACATAAATGTTATAATGCAATAATGTTTATGGCAATGTTTATTCCAACAATGGCAATGTTTATGGCAATGACACTGTGATATAAGAAATACAGCAGCAGTGCTTGAATTGCCAATAATCTCTTTTTAAGATTAATTCGTTAGTTAAACTTACTTAATATGTACTTTTTAGTGGAATTGAAGGAAAGAGTAGGTGTATACATGTTAAAACCTTGAGTGATATAAAATTACCAAGTATGTGCACAAAAAAAGACAGCTTGTTAAATTTTAAAAGTTATTTACAATAATTTTAATAAATTCTAACTTAACAATGAATGTAATACTTAAAACTAAACATAACAGCAATAATAATTTACTACGTTACTAACAATTAGAATTCATATTCATAATTAGAATTTTAAGCACATAATGAAAGTGTGCTATGTAAAAAAATGTTCTATTTTTCAAACCTTAGAACAGTGGTGCGCAAACTTTTTTCGACTGCAACCCTTTTGTAGAGAGAAAATTTTTGGCGACCCCTAAAGATAAATGTTCACAAATACGATGTATATTCCGCGCATTTCTTTCGTTTCATCGAATGAAAACATCATCATATCTGACTCATATTAATTTTATTCTATAGTTTTAAGAAAATACTTTTTGTATAACACAAAAATCAGTAAATTGCCCTTTAATGAGATGTATGTGGCTGCAAGTTTCTAATTATCTCATCGATGTTTGGATGTATGTTGCTAATTGCAATTTGCATATCATCTTCAGGGTTTAAACGCGAGCGGTATTTAGTTTTAATTGAAACTAATTTGCTAAATCCAGTTTCAAATAAATACATTGATGCAAATTGTATTAACACTCTGATGGCATTCTTGCATAAAACGGGATATTGTTTTTCCACGGATAGCCAAAATTTTTGGCAAGGCTGAGTTTTAAATTGATTTCGAAGAGTATAATCACTAATTAGTTCTATCAATTGCTCTTTCTCACTAATTTGAGGAGTTGAACTACATAGGTCAAAGGAAAATGGATCACGAATCCAACCAAGTTCGTTTTCAGGAAAATCCTCGAATCTTCTCGAAAAATTTTCTTTTAACTTTTCAACGTGATTGGAAATGATGTTTTTAAATGTAAATATATCTATTTTATTTTCCTTGATAAAATCGTTAAAGCAAATGAACATGTCGGTGTTGTTTTTATTCAGTTCAGTTTGCCAGAGACTAAGCTTATTCTTAAAAGCTTGAATTTTACTGGCTGAAGTTATGATAATTGAATTCTCACCCTGCAAGCTCAAATTTAAGTCGTTAAGTTTTTTGAAAATATC